ATTCTCAGTGAGTTCAGTAAGATAAAGGTTGTTATGGAACATTCCGTAATAGAGATAGAAACATTGGTAAATGAGAAGTAGTAGTGAGTTGAAGTACCGGCAGTACATGCCACAAAATATAGAAGTATAAGACAGCAATAAAAGGACAGACTGATGGTATTTGAGAGAGAGCAAAAATGTGGGAGAAGACCTCAAAGCAATTCGTCTACGGAACAGACAAAGATACAGAAATAATCGCTGTCTAGTAGTGAAGTGACTCATCAGCTCCGGGATGGGAAGCTCGCATGAATCATGAATGAAACCAAAGACTGACCGTCAGATACCAACATAAACAAGTTTTCAGCAATAATATACCACACTAATATAATATTCTACATATAGCAGTAATATTTAAAAACAACAGTTAGAAAACACGTTCATGGTAATGAATTTAACACAGACTTTTCTGTACGAGCAAACTACTGAGTAGCTTTCAAAACGAAATTACCGATATAAATGCTGTAAACGACCAATGCACCAACGGCTGCACCAAAGTACTGACCAAACCAGTAGACAGGAAGCCGAAGCCAGCTGGTTTTGCCAAGGACACAAAAGGCCGTTGTCACTGCCGGGTTGATGTGGCCTCCTGAAGCATTTGGTGACACCGAGGTATAATCAGCAATACAATTATTCAACACTATAATCAGCTCAAACATAACATATCTAAATAGAATGAGGAAACAAGAGGGAAACTTGACGCGCTTCAGGCAATCGAGAATCAATGTACGGTACCAGGTGGACCTTTCAAGCAATGGATATAGCTAGAACAGGTTGAAGCTAAATCTTTCAACAACAACAAAACTGTCGCCACTGCATCTGAGACATGGAATGGGAAAGGAGACGCTGGTAACTTTTGTGAAAAAAGGCTCAGCGCCAAATTTGAGCGCGATGGCAGACTGACAAAGAGGTTGACCTAGAAATCCGGTGGTGCCGAATTAGAATCCCAAAAGAAATTAAATTCGCTTTAACCAATAATTCTTTTGAGCAGAATTGGAGTTGGCACCACGTTGCTTCGATACACCCAGTTGAGAAACGGGGGTCACGTCGTTGAGTGGCAAACGACACAGGAAGCATGGTGTCCTTGTGTGGTCACACCAAAATGGTACAGTCCTATGGCCGAATGACTCTTTTGGCTACAGTTCGCCCCGACCTCCCCCCTTATCTGTCTACGCAATATGATAATCAGCACAACACGTAAGCCAGGTTGTACTGTTGTTGTTGTGGTAATTGAGAACGACTTTCTTTGATGGTACAACTTTGGAATCTGGTGTCTTTTGTTACAGACTGACTTGCATTTTTGTATTCTGCTACAATTTTACGTTTTTTCGTACCTGCTTCACAGGTGTGTCGAAAAGTAGCTAGCTCTGTGAAATAAACTTTACTTGAGCTTGAAATGAGTCTATGAGCAGCAGGTGAAAATGCCCGTAGGTCTTTGATTGACTAAGCAAATTGAAGAATAGATTCCGCTCTGCTTGAACGTTACTCCGCTCGTTTTAATGCTTGATGTACGATGTAGGAGTTAACCTTCATAAACTGATGATCAGCTGTGACATGATGAATATAGTCGCCATAAAATAGGTACCCTGCTGAACCGCAAAAAGTTCTTCGTCGGTTCCAATCTCAGTAGAGAAATGCGATTGTAATTGTATTAAATTTAAAATTAATGTTTTACTATTTTTCTTAAAATTACGTTTGCATGTTATTGATTTTTAGTGAAGCACTCAGGTGGATAAA